TTTACACCCCATAATTTCAAATCTTTTCTCTGTGAAGGCCTGTGATCCCATCTAAAGACTTTCCAGTTTCCCAGTGCACAGCTGCTTTCAGACTTTCAGTACAGCCAATATTATTATATCAGTTTGCATACTCAAGTGGGATAAATATATTGTGATTGTACAACGATTTATGCATATGTATATAAAAACTCAAACTTAATTCCATTGAGCTGATTCTGATTCATAGCAACCCCCATTGGGTTTCTGAAGCAGTAAATCTTTGTGGAAGTAGATCATTCCATCTTCCTTCCACAGAGAGGCTGCTGGGTTAGAACCTCCAAACTTCTGGTTAGCAGTCAAATGTTTTAGGCACTGTACCACCAGAGTTCCTTATAAGTATATAAAACATACAAAAAAATTATTGGTTCCTTTAATTGCATTTGTTGAATAATTCTCTGGTACAATATCTTTTTACTGTACAAAGATTTCTTGATTATTTCAGCAGGATACACCTGTCCAGAGAAACATAATCATTTATCATAATTAATCTTCATCAAAGAGCCTGCTGGAAAGTCTTAAGAAAAAGGGGATTGTTTTTGATTAACACAAAAAAACAGATATAAACACTTCAAAAGGAGCAGGCCAGCACTCAAGCAACATGTAGCCATCTTTCAAAACCTTAAAGGAGAAAGCATATTTACTATCAATATACTACTGAAAATATTCATCTTCTGTCCCTATTCACAGATAATTAGGTCATTAAGATCTGGAGAAACACCTACTTCAGATATAAGTTCATGCTGTGATATATATACATAGGTCTTGCATTATCTAAGGAAAAAGTCAGCAAATTTGTTCTTGGGTCTGCTCTATGGGTCTGTGCTCATACATACAATTTTCACATCACTTGCATCCATGACAATATTATGGGGCAAAGTACTAGATGCATACAGTATTGTCCATTCCACAAGGAGACAGTCAGGGAGCCAGTTAGATATTTGTATAAACTGATGCTGTTTACAATATGTGGTATTCTTTCAGAATGAGAGTATTTGTGCTAAATACTGTTCCATTCATAATCCTTCAATAACAGTAATCTACAAGTGGTTATATAGATAGACATGAAAATTGGACAGGTGTGGGAAGACAAATGGGACTACACTCACAAATATATATAGGTTTGACAGATGATATTTCTACATATGTATTTATATGTGCTACAAACATATCCATGAATATAGTAGAGCATAGAGGGGGCAAAGTTATGAAAACTTCTTAGCCATAACCAAATACCTTGAGAGAATGAGTCTCTGGGCCAGGGAGCTCAGGACCATAGTCTGGGAAGACTATATTGGTGCAACACAATCCACAAAGAAAATGTTCTACATCCTTCCTTGATGAATAGCAACTGGTGTCTTAAAAGCTTATGAGTAGCCAACTAAGGTACAACTATTGGACTCTTCCCATCTGGAGCAAAGAAGAGTGAAGAAGAGCAAGACAGATGGAAACAGTCCAAAAGACTAATGGGCCATGTGCACCTCAACCAACCATGACCCTGAGACCAGAAGAACTCAGATAGTACCCAGCTACCACTACAAACTACTCTGAAAAGGATCACAATAGAAGCTCCTGATAGAGTGGGAGAAAAATGTGGAACAAAACTCAAAATCATGAAAAAAAAAAAAAAAAAAGCTGCTTACTGGTCAGTATGGATTATACCTCAATATAAAGAAAACAAAAGTCTTCACAACTGGACCAATAAGCAGTATCACGATGAATGGGGAAAAGACTGAAGTTATCAAAGTCTTCATATTACTTGGTTCTACAATCATCACCAATGGAAGCAGCAGTCAAGACATCAAAAGAGGTATTGCACTGGGCAAATCTGTTGCAAAAGATCTCTTTCAAGCACTGAGGAGCAAAGATATCTCCTTGAAGACTAAGATGCACCTAACCCAAACCATGGTATTTTCAATCGCCTCACATGCATATGAGAGCTGGACAGTGATAGGGAAGATCGGAGAAGACTTGATGCTTTTGAGTTGCGGTGTTGGAGAAGAATGCTGAAATTACCATGAACTGGTAAAAAGAACTGACAAATCTGTCCTGGAAGAAGTGCAGCTGGAATGCTCCTTGGAAGCAAGAATGGCCAGACTTCGTCTCACCTATTTTGGTCATGTTGTCAGAAGGGACCATTCTCTGGAGAAGGATGTCATGCTTGGTAAAGTGGAGAGTCAATGAAATAGGGGAAGGTCCTCAACAAGATGGATTGACACAGTGGCTGCATCGATAGACTCAGGTGTAGTAGGGATCATGAGGCTGGCACAGGACATAGGGTTGCTATGAGTTGGAGACAACTCAATGGCCACATAACAATCTGGTCAGATAGAAACTGGTGGAACCTCTGAGACTATGTCCCATAATCATCCTTCAAGCCTGGACCTGAAGTCAACCCCATAGCTCATCTTTCAAGCCAAACAATAGACAGTAACACTTTTCAGAAAATCAACCATATGAGATCAAAAGGGCAGTATTTGCCCAAAGACAAAGTTCAGAAAACAAGGAGGGATTGAGTGAATGGAAATAGGAAACACAAGGAGGCAATGAGAAGAGTGCCATTGCATTGGGGGGATTACAGTAAGTGTTATGAAACAAAAATGTGGAAAAGTAAGTTGCTCTGTACACTTTCACTCAGATCACAATAAAATAAAAAAAGTTAAATAAAAAAAAAAAATGTGACTCTGCTTCCCAGACAGTACTGTATCATTCTTATAAAAATGATCTATTTGACAAAGCTTCTTTCAGACTAACCCACAGCTATTTATAAACTTGACAAATGTTTGATAGTGGAATTTGGTTGCATATGTTAATATAATCTATATAGTAACAAAGTTTTGACTTCTTAATAATACTTTAAAATACTCTAAAAAGTGCTTTACATCAATAATATATTACATTTAGAAAGTATATTATATATGTACAGTGTATTTCCAATTGCATGCTTTAAAAATTCATGCATAGAGGAAAAAAAACATAAGAGTATATACCCAACTGTTTACAGTGTTACTCTGGGAAGTGGGATGATGGATGCATTTCTTTTCTTCTTTTATTTTTCTTTGTCTTTTCTAAGGGAGCTTTGGTGGCATAATGCCTAAGGCATTTGACTGCTAATCAGAAAGCTGGCAGTTCAAACCCTCCAGCCACTCCTCAGAAGAAAGGTTAGGCAATCTACTTTCGTAGTGATACCACCTCGGGAAACCGAAGGAAGGGTTGCTGTGAGTCAAACCTGACTGGACAGCAATGAGTTTGGTTTTGGTTTGGTATTTTCTAAATGCTTCATGGTAAATAGATACTATTTTTTACAAAAAGAAAGCATTTTAAGACTGAGTGCCAAGAGGTTTAACAAATAAAAGTTTAAGATCTATTAAGTTTACATGTTAAAATTCTAGGCTGTGCTTTCCAATATTGTACCCACTAGAAACAACTGTTATTTGAAATTATATTAAATTATATTGAAAATTCAATTTCTCAATCTTATTAGCCATTTGTCAAGTTTCAATAGACTTTGTTTTCTTTATATTGAGGTGTAATCCATACTGACCAGTAAGCAGGTTTTTTTTTTCCTTCATGATTTTGAGTTTTATTTTGTTTCTAGAAAGTTCTAACTGAAAGCCCTGGTGGAACATGGGTTACCAAATTATGCCCAGATAACAAAGATGGAGATTAGACTAGTTTTCAGTGGCACAGAAATGAACATATGCTTGTCCCCGCAGACACTTCTTTTCACTACTTTTATCCAGTTCCCTTTATATACTTCATTAACCTGAGGCCCGGTTAGCTCAAAGACATTTTGCACAGCCATTCTTCTAGTTTAGCGACATAGCAAGGACTAGAAACCAGGGCTATTAACTCCTAATTCATAGTTCTTGCCTCCACTTCACTTTTTCCTTCATCTTCTCCTGAAAACTAAATCCTCCCTACCAATACTTCAGTTTAATTCAATTCAATATAATTTCATGGCTTATTTATTTATTTAGAGCGCTTACAGTGTGGAGCTCTGGTAGCACAGTGGCTAAGGCACTTGACTGCTAACCAGAAGGCTGGCGGTTCTAACCCACCAGCCACTCCTCGGAAGGAAGATGGGGCAATCTACTTACATAGTGATACTGCCTCGGAAACCCAAGGAGGGGTCACTATGAGTCAGATCCGACTCGATGGCACATAACAACAACAACAACAGTGTGTTTTAAAAAAATAAAATAAAAAACCAAACTCACTGCTGTCAGTCTATTCAACTCATAGCGACCCTCCTTGCGTTTCTAAGGTGGTATTTGTACAGAAGTAGATTGCCCAGTGTTCCTTCCGAGGAGTGGCTGATGGGTTTGAACCGCTAGCCTTCTGGTTAGCAATCCAATGCCTTAGGCACTATGCCACCAGAGCTCCCAGTGTGATAGGTACCATAAATATAAAACCAAGTAAAACAATCTCCTAGCTCCAAGGGGCTTCATTTAAAACAGAACGGGAAGTTAGGTAGAGCGATATCCCAAAGTAGCAATGGGTCCCTTCCTCTTGGGAGATCCAGAAATGCTTCACGTAAGTAGATATGTCTGAGATATATCTTGACATTTATGCACTCAAATTCATAAACCATCTCTTCTGTAACATCCCCAGTTATCTCCATCCTCCAGAAGAAGTCAGATCAGACTCCATTTTTGAAATGCAGTTGATCCCTGACCTAAAACTGTTTTTACTTCATGTGAATCAGTTAGTCTCAACTTTATTAAATTGGACTAGTTTTCTCATTTTCAAGCCTGATTCTATATTTAAAATAATTTTGAGTCTTCAAATGAAATGAAGTATTAGTTTAATATTGAGTCATCCATTTCATCTTGAACTATATAAAAGCAAACAAGAAATCTAAATGAATTATTATTTTCACCCAGTTTTTCTGGAGATGTTTAAACAGGTTAAGAACCTGAAATCACAGTTCTCAAATAAATCATATTCCTCTGTTTTAACAGATGCAATGCTCTTGGTGGCAGAAAGACTGGAAGGACCATTCAACATTGAGTCAGTCATGGACCCTATAGATGTCAAGATTTCTGAAGCCATTATGAACATGCAAGAAAACAGCATGCAGGTGTCTGCAAAGGTATTTGCATTAGTCATGTATCTACTAATAAGGAGAGTGTAGTAATCTGAAAATGAAGTAACTAGATATGTCAGTCGGGATTATAAATTCTAATACGTTGTCAGTGAGCTTTTCCTGTGGAGCCACAAATTTGCTACTTCATTAAAAATGCCTAACAAAATGGCATTGAGAGGGGAAGCAATCTTTTAGTTCACAACTAGTCAGTCATAAAGAAATTATTGGCTGCCAAAAAGTTTCAGAGAGCCCCAAGTATGTTGACTAATCTCTTACATTTGTGAGCAATTTGGGGGGGAGGGATTTTTACTTTAATGCTTGAAATTTCTGCATTCTCGTACCATACTTTCTGTCTCTGTTGTTGTTGTTGTTATGTGCCGTCGAGTCAAACCCGACTCATAGCAACCCCTCCTTGGGTTTCTGAGGCAGTATCACTACGGA